CTGTAGGGGGGGGGAGGGGGGGCAGCTGGATGGGGATGACGGGCTCGTGTAATTTTCCATAGGGATCGATCGAGGGTGGTATCGATAACATGTGGACATAAAACAAAAATAAAATTAATAGGACTCACCGTTTCGACTTGGGGGCCGCGGAGGCGCAGGGTACTGGGGCGGCGTAAGCGGCGGCGGCGGGGGCGGTGCTAGTTTCTGCGTCTGATGTGTCAGGGCAGGATGATGATGTCCGGTTGATGAGCCTGGCGAGGCCGTGGAGGAGAGTCTTCCTAGGTTGGAGGAAGTCGAGCAGTCTAGGTTCCTGATGGTCGCGGCGACGTTAAGGTTGTTGGGGGGCCAGGGTGGGCGCCGCGGGGGCAGCGCCGGGGGCGGGGGGCAGTCCAAGGTATCCACACTTCCACACTTTTAATCCACCTTCCACACCGAATGTCCTCACTCCACCACCACGTGATTCTCGTTGCTTCGATAGTTCCTCGGATCCTTTCGCCTTAGCTTCTTCGTGAATTAATAATCAGGAAGAATCCTCCCCTTCGATCAGGAGGATCGTGGGGGAACACTCTCTATTCCCGGTCTGATCGATCGATCGATTAATTATCCAATGACGATCCCGATGTAATTGATATTATCGATATCCTCTTCTCGACTGGACGCAACACACACTGCTCTTGATCACTGTATAAAATACCGTCGCCTATGTTGATACTCAACGAGCGACAGTCGCCCGACTGAGCCAGCGACTATCGAAAGTTAGGTATTCAGTGTTTTTGTAACACCTCGTAGAGGAAGGGGGGGGGTATGAAGTGTCGAGGGAGGCAAAGGATGTGGATAAGGGCGCGGATGTGGGATGCAGCGGCGACAAGCTCAGAGGGAGAGGCAGCAGAGGCGATAGGGTCGGGGCACGTCGTCGTCGTCGTCGTCGTCGGCGTCGGCGTCGGCTGTGGCGGCAGGGCTGGATCGCGTAGGCCGGCCGCCAGTAAACAGACTCCTTCATTCACTGCTTATTTTATACGGGCGGCCCCTACGACCACGGAAATAGCCTCGCCGCGTCCTTCTCTATCGGCTGGTAGCGCCGTAACCTCCCACTCTCTCGCACTCATGCACCATTCGTGTACTTGGCGTATTCGTGTCACGCGCGCACAACTACCTCCTTCTCCTTCTACTTCTTGGCGACGACAACGACGACCACGGCGACGACGACAACGACGACGACCACCACCGCCACGAGGAGGAGGAAGAGGAGGTACTAGACACCTTCACGAGAGCGAACAGCATTACACGCACTACTCCCCAGGTGCATATACGTTTTATCCTTTTGCGCAAGAGCCTATAGACTCTGGGCTTTATTTGCAAGGACCCAGGTAGATTATCCTTAATTATTCGCCTTTTTCCTCAGTGTTATTCAACGAAAGGTTATCATCTTATCGCTCTTGGTATTCGATTTACGCCTGATGCTTCCAACGATCCTTGATCCTTGAAGCGATCCTCGCAGGACTCGCGAGATCCTCTCATGGGTTCAGGATTACTGGATGAGCAGTCGAGTATCCTGTTGCTCCTGGAACTTCTGCGTGTCCTACAGAACATCAAGATCCTCGTGTGACGACAAGTATTGCCAGTGCGACATGCTGTCTCCTTGGTGCGGATGTCGCGACTCCTGACAATCTTTCACTGCACTTCGATCAAGCCGATTAGAGTACAGAGAACCTTAACTCTCTTGTCCTCGCTGATCGGCGAATCCTGGTGCTGTTGTAGAATACGGGGATGCCTTTATCAAGTATTCTTCGCGTAGCCACTGCGACAGTGGTGTAGCAACCGAAGTAGGGACTCTCTCAGAGAGTAAGAGAGAGAGAGAGAGAGAGAGAGAGAGAGAGAGAGAAAGAGGGAGAGAGAGTAGATGAAGAAAGAAGGGAGAGAGAAGTTCCGTCGGCGAGAAGTTCAGCTGGCCTCGGCGGCCATGTCGGCGTAGCTCGTGCACAAGCGAGGCCAGGCGTGGATCCGTACGACTACGGGCCACCGGCCGAACCACTCACTGTACTACTCTTAATACTCAACACACAACTCTGTCTGCTGCTCTCTCCTCGATATTTCCCGTACCATCAGCTTCTAAACGTACCCTTTGACTTCCTCACTGGTACAGAAAAATCACTCTATATAGGTATCACTCACTGTCCACTTTCGGCCAGACGTAATAAAACTGGCCCAGCCAGCCAGTTATTAGGCTACCAGCAGTAGCAGCAGCAGCAACAGCAAGAAACAGGCTCCCAGCCAGAGGGATAGTTTCACGTTATGTGCCTCTCTACGCTTCAAGTACGACCAGCGTTACTGGTAACTCCCAGTGGAGGCGGGTGCTACACACTCCCCAGCTCCCGGGGACGGACACCACGTTTATTAAACAATTCTACGAGGGAACACCGCGGATGCTTTCACACCGGTATATCCTAGGGTACGCTCGAGTTCCTGACATAACTCTCGTAGTGGCGCGCACGGCTCTTCGCTCTTATACACTGTCTTACTCGCGGCGGGTCCCACTCGATTCTGAGCGTTCCGAGGCCGGCTGCGCTCGCCGAGGAGCTCGCTCCGTGCTCGCTCTTTTCCGTGGGTGGGCGTCTCTGCGCATGCGTCATCCCCTCCAACGCTTCCCTATTCTCACTCTGTCGAGTGGCTGGCCTCCTCTCCTCGCTGCGCTCGCCTCACGATCTCCCTTCGTCGCACTGTACTCCGGGACCCTCGGCCAGACGTGATACTTCATTCATGCTCGTATTGTGCGACCAGTAGCGGATCCATTGGCGCAGGCACCCGCTCCTCGATATTTATTTTCCTTGAGCAGGTCTGTGGGACGCTGAGGAGGTGGGTCCAGGAGTCGTTTCATTATCCGGGGGATAGGCTGACATTCTTTCTAGTGTTCTACCGATGCAATGGGTCGCTATCTACCTTTCACAACCTGGACAAGATTTTCAACGATGACTCTAGGTTCACGAAGACCTCGGGACGGTACTGTCTTACGGGTCTACGAGCTCCCACACATCGGGGGTTCTCGGTCCGCTTCGTAAAAGTCCGTCGACTACATCCTCTTTCATCCTCATCGGAAACAAATGGCCGTCCTCGTCTCTCGGTCTTATGCTGGACCTGGAGACAGGAGGAGGTTCCTTAAACTCTTCTTATTCTCGTACTATCTTTCTACGACTGTATGAACCTTCTCGACATCCTGGATTTAGTTGATTCGGAGCGCTACCGGTTATTCACTCTTTCCAAGTACCAAGCTGTATCTGTTCATTGTAGACCTAGTCTTACACAACAGGAAGTATCCGTCTGATCTAGATCTATGACGCGCTCTACTTTATACCGATGAAAATGAAAATTTCCTAGCACGGAATTGAAATCGCAGCCATGGCACGAATTAAAACGGCCCCAGTGTCACGTGGCTGGTTGTCAGTTTCCCTGGAACTCTGTCAATAGGACAGCAACGTGGCTTTGGGGCCAAGAGTAGCCAGATACATATAAATCTAAATTTAGAGGGGAAAATCAGCGACCCGTAGCCAATTGGGCGTAATTCATTGCCCGCGGACGTTGACAAAATTCTTATAAATATACATATAATTTACAAGACCAGTAACCAACCCAAGCAAGCACTGCCATCGGCCGACGTGATATACACATACATATATAAAAAAAATAACAAGAAGAAAAAAGAAACGTAACGCATTGTATTCCAGCAATATAAAAAGAAGAGACGTACAAAGAACGGTAACAACTCAAAATAAAAAGATGAGAGAAGTGTCTGCGTTAACGCGTGAAAAATGTTTCCTCAATCTCTGTGGAAGTGAGCGCGTAGGGCTCCATCCTGATTAGCAGGACGCGCGCCCGTTTTATACGCTTAAACGGCGCTAGTCGCGTTAACGGCGTAATACGGCTATTTAAAGAATGACCACTTGAACTAATAAGGCGACACGTACAACTATAATTAGCATATAGGAGGGCAGCCCCTCTTGCCCCGCGTTTGGGAAGACGCTCAAGGTCTTCAGAAGTTATTGGGTTACGTTTGGGCTTAGAAAAATTCGATCCCACGTTCAGCACACCTGAAGTCCCTCTTCCACGTGAACCTCTGTTTCTCCAGTGGCCTTTACTCCCTGGTACGTCCCTCAGGATGCATCACCACGCTCACCGGAAGTAGCATTGAAGAGATAAGTCCTCTGCGACCCCATTGTTACACTCTGACTAATACTTTTCTTTCTCGACTACCAGAGTCAACAGCCGTCACCAGGAAACTCTGGGACTAGTCATCCTCAGGATGAGTACTCTTTTTCGGATGAACTGCTGAACCGGACACATACACGTGCTTCTGTGCCTCGCGTGGAATAACATTTTGGAATTCCAAGTTCCTGTGGTCCGTAACTCCGGTCTGACGCCATTAATGCTCCATCCCCGTGAGAGTCATCCTCTATTCCTGAAACCGGGGAGATCGAGCACTTCCAAGAGTTCACGTTGACGCAATCCTCTTCGCCTAGCTTCAACAGTCTCTCGCCAGTCAGCCTCTTCTGACAATTGGTCATTAGTCGTGGAGTAACGTATCTGGATCGTTTCTCATCCGGATGAAAAATGTTTGCGCTAAAAAGAAAGAAAAAAAGAGAAAAAATAGAATACACAGAAACCGCATGCGTAACGTCGTACTAATAAAGAAAAAGATGACTCCACTCCGCAACGTAAGAATAGAAGGAACCAGAGAACAGGCTGGCATGCGAATCGCGTGCGGTAGACCCGTTCCAGGGGAGGATATCCGGTGCGGAAACGCTTCCCGTCGACACCCACCCGAGTCGAGGAAACCGAGCGACTGCATTTCCGTTAAGCGCACCCAAAAGGCACGAGTCCGTTTCCTGGTCGAATGTTCCCCACGTGTCCTGCTCTCCTTTCCCTCTGCCACTGGAACTGTCAGCTCTACAAGAAACAAGAGAACGACAAAGAGATAAATAAAGAAGAGCAAAAAGAGACCGACCAGAAGACAACTCGTGAAGAGGAGTATGTCCGGGTTCATAAATTTCATAGCAGAGATATACTCAATTAAAATATATACAGTAAACAAAATGAATAAACTATATCCAAGCCAATCCCCCTTCCTAGATTCTTACTGCCTCTACCAGGAGTGTCCTCGCACTCGGCAATTGCGAGGTTAAGTGCTTAATTAACTTTTACACCAGTAAGAATTCTCTCTCTCTCTCTCTCCCATACACACAGACAATATCCCTAAACACAGCGACTCTCCATAAAAACAAGAAAATTTCGAGAAACGAAAGTCAGCAAGTCAGCATGTTAATCGTCGTATATTCTCACACGTAATACGTGTATCCTTCAAACGACCGTATGTTATACATTGAGGAAAAATTCTTGAGTTAATGATCTAAACAAGCTGTTAGATATTGCACAATTCATCCATATCCTTCCTATAGCTAATAATCCATTGACAGTCATCCTTAATCGCATGCACATATATAGTAATGCACATGTAGAATATTATCAACGAAAAATACAAGAATCTTTTTTCTCACAGTTTCTATGTAGTCTCGTATGTACGTATAAGACTCCTATCTACCACATATGCGTCACGTATGCGCGCGAGGACAACCTGCGGATATATGAATGGCTCGAAATGACGTGCATTCATTGAGTGCGGCCTGGCGTGCCGTCTCGGCGCTCGACTCTCAAGCAAGGACGTGACATATTTCTGCTTGGAGAACTCCCAGCAAAGGATTCGAGTGGCCGCGCGGTATCCTCGCATTCCTTCCCACTCTCTCTCTCTCTCTCTCTCTCTCTCTCTCTCTCTCTCTCTCTCTCTCTTCTATCCTGCTTACATCTCAACAATCAAAGAACCAGACTGTTACCATCCATTCATCATTCCCCATTAACCATATACCCGAAGGTTAAGACACAAGTCACAAAGAAAAATTCACTGACGTCACACGCATATAATTAAGCTACTCCCATTTCAACTTCATTCATAATCCGTATGGATTTATTTTTTTTTTTTCTTTTGCAATTCTTCTCTCAAAATTCTCTCCGACTCGAGAAGAACTTCCATCTGTTACTAGATTCAAGATAATTATTATATATATATATATATATATATATATATATATATATAGAGAGAGAGAGAGAGAGAGAGACGCTCGTTACCAGTCGTATTGGTAAATCGTTTATACAGCTTATGTAAGTAGTTAGAAGAGAACTCTGTGCGTCCATTGAGGCGTCCCGACGCCGCTTCATTCATGGAAACTCCCTCGGGCGTCCACAGTCTCTCCCACCCAGCTTCATCCCCCAGAGACTTTGGGATTCGCTCAGAGTATTCTGCGATCAATAGGTGAGACCATATTTCCCCACCCGAACTTACCAGTTGACTCTCTTATAGAGTCTGTAGGGCAGCTGCTGTTTTAAGGGATGATCCTTAGACTTGATCTCTCTGGATGCTGGATGAAATCCGAATTGAAGTCTGGACGTACAGGAGAGATGGAGAATAGGCACTGGGTTACTGCCTCTGGAGGGTACTTGGAGAATCTGATGGCGGCGTTAATAGCGCTAGGTCGATGCAGTGCTCGTTATCAGGGACACTTGATGAGTCAGGTGATTGACCTCAGGGTTCCGTTTGATAAGCGTGGATCAATCCTCAAGGTACAGTAATAGGTAGGTAAATCGATATTGGTTCTGACACTACCGATACTGGTATAGTCTGTATATAATAATTTACTAGATATATATATATATATATACACACCGTTATGTATTCACGATATATTTTCCAAATGAGGATCCTCACTCTAGCCGAAAGCATCCTTTGGGATTTTCCATATTATCTTTTCCTCTTCTCTCCTTTCCCCAAAAAGTCATACCACCGTTCAAGGTTAACTTTCCTGTGGAATAATTTCACAGTCGCACCAGGAAGTGTACCTAATGGAGTGCAACGAAGAGCGACGATAAGGAGATCCTTGTTATTCATCCATGAAATAAAAATAAATAAATAATCCTTGGAAATTTCCGTACATTTTGTATTTTCCATTAGCAATTACCAACCTCGATGAATTTTAAAAAATTTCCTTCGCCCTGACTCTCCACCGTCGTATCCATACAGTACGCTTATCTCCATACGTCCATATCAATAATATTTCGCAAATAAAAAATATTTAGAGAAATTTCATTCGTATTTATTCCTCGTAACTCCGTACGCATTCGACTCTTATAAAGTGCTTAGACATAAAAAACACATATCTCTCGCGACGCATCTTACGCACTCTAATTCAGTTATGCTTTAGGTTAGGTTAGATATAATCCTATGGGATTTCATCCTTATCTATATGATTCAGTTATCCTTGCAACAGAGAATATGCATATGAATATCTCGGGGCGTGTCTTGTCCTCACATCTCTCTCTCTCTCTCTCTCTCTCTCTCTCTCTCTCTCTCTCTCTCTTTGAGTATTCGAAATTCCGCTACGTATTAATACAACATCCAACGTGTCGGTGCGGTTGCGGTTCTCCTGTCAGCCGGATATTTAGTCCCAGTTTCATTTCCGTTAAATTTGCTCCTACGCCACTGCGGAACCCGATAGTCAGTGTTAACATTAAAAAATCCATCTGACATCTTTACATCTTATGACGATTAAGATCCGTCATTGATTCTTTCCCTCGCACTTTCTATCCCTCTCACTCCAATTATCCCACTCCCATTAATCAACGTCAGTATGCGTGTATAATTGTATGAATAATATTATGTATAATATGTATAATTATTTATTGATCCGCGCGCGTACGTCTGGTACAATCGATTGAGAAGACCAGACCGGATGTGAGGTCACGCGGCAAAGCTATACTTTCAATAAAACGTCCGCCTATACTATGTTCAACATAGCTCGGCCGCGGGTCATACGGGACTTGCAGCTACCTAGTATATATCCTATTAACAAAACGTTCTCTCTCTTTCGAGGGAGAGAGAGAGAGAGAGAGAGAAGTAAAATTAAAGGAAGAACAAGAACTAAGTATTGTACGTATATACGACGAGTGTCGAGAATCGAGGTGAATTACAAGTTTTTTCTTTTTTTAAATAAAGAATCGCTACCCGTTTTATCGCACTGAAACGCCCCTGCCCTCATTATCAAATAGACCATTCGCAATAATTCCAAAGAATTTAAGTTCTGCCTTCGATTTACATTTTTCTTTTTGTTTTTTATAATTTGACCAAAGGACTCAACGCAATTATTATAAATGGCTAAACGATAGTTTTTATATCAAACATTAATTGAATGATACGTACGACAGTATCGAATGTCCTTAATTAAGCACGTTTAAATCCTCCCCCCCCCCACGCTCTCTACTCCCTCTTAATTAATCATATCTATACGAAATAGATCCCAAGTAATTCATTCGTAGAATAGTCTTCTTCGTTTCTCTCTTCCTCCGTGTCCATCCCGTCCTTCGAATATTTTCCATAGAAACGCATTACGCCGCGCATGCGCGCCAATCCCAGAATGAAAAAAAACCACCACGTGGAAGATGGCCGCCTCTCTTCCGTCACGACGCCTCCTCTGCAGTATGGCCGACCTTCGTATTCCTTTAAAGGATCTGGAAGAGCTTCTTCAGTTCCACCATTAGCTGCCAGTCGGTCTTCACGAGATCGTCCCTGAAATATTCCTTGCAGGCGTCTATGCTCTGTCTGCTGATCTGTAACACAGAGGGCACGTACGAGTTTAGCGGAATCAGGAGATAAAAAGTGAATCAACGAGTGAATTAATGAATGAAGGTGGGAGCCAGTGCTGGAAACACGTGGTGGAGTAGGCAGTGACGAAAGGGAGCGAAGAGCAGGAAACTTCCAGTAGAGGCTGTTTCAAGCGAGCAGATTAGACTTTCCGTTTCCTGTCTGTGGGCGTCACGTGGTCGGGACGCCGGGCGTCTATCGATCGCAAAGCTCAGCTACGTGCTGAAGTCCATTCATGATTTTCGAAGCGGAGGGCGGCAACCCTGTATGTGTTACAACCCCCTTGCGAGGAGGCTGGCACGAGTAGGGGAAGCGAGAGAGAGAGAGAAAATGTGAAAAATATATATATATATATATATATATATATATATATAAAGTAAAGCAAGTCCTTGTGCCATTAAGAAAATGACCACCCCGAGTTGTGACGTTCCGTTATGAAGTAAGAGAAGCCATTACTTATATGGCCCATTCAAAAATTCCTCGAGCCCCCCCCCTCCCTCCTCCACGTCGAATTTATGGAAAAGTCGAACAGGTCAACTTCTAGTCGGGAAAGGGACACGTGTTTTTGCGAGAAACAAGGAAAAGAGAACAAAGCTAAGCACATGGCACAGATTGAAGAATACGTTACAAAGGTCCCTAATTGACAGCCGTCACTTTCTTTTTGCATTTTACGTGTTTATAAATAAATATATATATATATATATACCATATAAATATATATTATACGCATTTTTGAGGTTATGAATGAAACACACTAAGCGTTCGATTATTCAATAGGTTCGCAAGACGAGCTTGAAAATTCGTCACTTCCGTTTCCGTTGACTCAACCCCCAACTGACTTCCCATCATCCCCCATTCACAATCGTAGCAGTGTGTATAGCACGTTAGGCATTCATTGAAGGAACTCGGCGACTGACGACGCGACGTACGAAATGGCGGTTTATTCAGAAGGGAAAAGAAAAAGGAACCCTTGAATGAGCTCTGCGCACAGGGGTTACACCGCAATCCCAAGGACTATTCAGGATCGAGGAAAATATTAGCAGGGGTTGAGGAGTCTCCCGAAGGTGGGGCCTGCTGAGGCGCTTTTGCTTTTGCCGTTAAAAATACACGACCCGTCGACGCCGGAAGTCAAGTCCCACGAACACGAAAGGAAGTCGGTACTCGTTGAAGGGTTGCCAGACGTCAAATGGGGTGGAATTCATTTTTCTTTCTTCATTTCTCAACTCCTCCGTCTAAACTCTCTTTTATGTCCTACCCTATTCTTCACCGATCTCTCCCCGCACCCCGTGTCGCCCTAAGTCTACCCCCCTTTCATCAATAAACACACCCCCTCGGGAATCCAGCCGCCAGGTAAAACCTATAGGGGTCGTTCAATAATCGCAAGGCCCAAAAACCCTTGCGCTTGGTGACGCAATAAAAAATTTTTTTTTTTTTTCAAAATAAAAACCAGATCTCGCTCTTGGCACAATATGGGGCTGACGAACGAGACTGCAAATACACACGAAACCCAAAAGGCCGGTTATCCTGTTTTGGAGAGTCCTGTAGGAATTTAGGAGGATCAAATTGTTCGAGGGTTCAACAAAAAGGACAGGTGGGATGCGTCCTGGTGGCTTAATTAAGGCTACCTCACGCGGCCGGGGTTCGCATCGCAGGATTTTGGGACCCAGGACAAAGGGACCACCTTTTACTTCTCTCCATGTCCGTCCGTCCATTACCTATTTTAATACCGACCGTCGGTCTAGATTTCGAAAAATTATTTTTAAATTTCAAATCATCTTGACAGCCCTCAAAGTGTCACATGCATCGACAATTTTTTTTAATTTTAAATTCTAGGGACTTTTTTGTTTAGTACTCTCACTCATATCCGCCCTGCATCCGTGCTACGAGGCCATTCAGAATTTTTTTTTGTTATCCTTACAGCAAATCCTCGACAGGATATCCACTGTGTGCACACGCTCGGGATACTCAAGGATTTATCCCAAGGAAAATACGCGGCAGGGAAAAGCGGATTTTCTATGTCTAAGTCAGCGGACCGACGGAAACCATACAAACTAACGTTTGTGATATTTCCAGTATTTCTTTTCTCTTTTCGTTATGCCACATTCCAAAGGCAGGATAAACAAGGACAAAAGTATACAAGTCGCTAAGGATGTCCCTTGGAAAATATTTCGTAAAAAAAAAAGTCACTAAAGTCCGTACAAATTATAAAGTCCAATTCATAAGCCACGTAACTCGTACAGACTATAAAATTCTTTCAACGTAATACCCTCTCGATCACTGAGCTTCTGTAGCGACTTCTCGAGGCCGCACGCTATTTTTAAAGACGCACACTTACGTTCGCGATATCACAATATTATCGTCTTATCAGTACATTATCTTTGCATCACGCAAGACACTGTGTAAACACGAGAGCCGAACTAGTCATGAATGAGAAGACATTCTCTGGATATTCATTCACAATAAAAAGCAATGAGAGGCAAGTCGAATGCTCGTTTCGGGGTATAAAAAAAAAAAAAAAAAAGAGAGAGACAGAAATAACACTAGTCGAGGCAGTAAAATTAAGAAAATTTTTCGTGAATTCTAGCCACCAGAATTTTCAGGGTAGGGGGGTTGGGGTTGGGGGGTGGAGGTTCCTGTTGACGAGGAGGAAAACACGAGGGTAGAAAATTCATGGTGGTAATTTAACGAATGGTTGGTACCATTGACAAGGAACGGTAACGTTACGCCGTACAACTGTTTCCGCCCCCTACCGGAAGTCCCCTTTCATTCATGGATCGGTCACAATGGTAGTTTTACACAGCTATTGAGGACAGCTCCCGCCTCTTTCATCTCTTTCTCTCTTTCCTTCATATATTATTCTGTTTGACCAAGACTCTCCGCCATATTTGTACACATTTGACAGTATCGATATTTCTCTCGATTTACGTATTGCCGTAGGCTCACTTCCGGTCGCCATGAAACTCGTTGTATATCCTCCTGTAAATCGATATAAAAAATGATAAAAGAACGAAGAAAAAAAGAAAGAATTTCGCATCACAGGCAAAAGAGACGCTTCCGGTCACCTAAGAGTCTCCCGTTACGCGCGCAGGCGTTAATCCAGCAGTGAAAGAGGTATAAAAATAAGAAGGAAAAAAATGTAAGAGAGGAAGCAAAAGATTTCGTTAAGAATATAAAAATGAAAAAAAAAAAGAAATTTTTGCACTCTAAGAGAAAAACGTAGTTCCTATTTGGATTTGGTCACGGTTCAATAAGTGGTTTTGAGGTTATGAAAAAAAATAAAAAAAAATAAAAAAAAGGAGCCAAGTTAGTATGCAAAGGTTATGTCTTGAAAGAGGAAGATGCACATCCGGCGACCACCTGTCTACCGTCTTCCGGCGTGTTCTACGCCACTTCCGCTCTTACTTGGAACTCTACCGGCACGGGTTGGAGTCTTCACTCACTCCCCCTCCCTCCCCCCTCCAACCGACAATTATCTCTTCCCCGCCACCCCCTCTTCTAGCACTCTCGATATGCTAATTAATTAGTCGTCTGCATGCACTGACCATACGAGACTCCTTGACTAGAATATACAATAAGGCAGAACGGTGCACGTATGTGGCAATAGCCATTGTCAGAGAACAGCCGAACGGCCAGTCCCAAAAATTATCAGGCGACTTCCTGTTCCTCTACCAGTCTATTTCTACAGGTCTGCTTCGCAACTTCATCAAGGAGGGCACCCTGCGCGGAATTTAAATTGTCCAATCAATTCGCACCTAAAGAAGACCTCCGAATCCGACCTGAATCCAGGTGACTCAACTCGAAGGAGCCACCGGAGTCACGAGCCAAGTAAGTCGGTCTCCTTGGAAACGGATCTACGTCATGAGTGACCCGATGACCTAATTTTCATGCCCAAGGACCAGGGGAGATCCTCCCTTGGGAACGGAGCCCAGACGACCTCGTCGATAGGAGGCTCGGAGCTTTGCCGGATGCAAAATAAGTGTAAAGAGGAGTAAACGGATGAAGCGTCGCTTTGAAGATTCTCTATTGGATGAGAGTAGGTGGACGATGGTGGGAGAGAGGAGAATGAGTTTTCTCCAAGTTCCCAAAGTGTGTCGGGGGGAGGGGGGGGGGCGTTTTCATTGAACGCCACCTCTGACCTAGTTTCCATACAGTTCGTTGCTAAGGGATTGCATGACGCACGGGGATTCATCCCCCAGGCTGACACTACTACATCCAGATCCCCAGCATACCCTAGACCACCCCTGGGCATCGAACCCTAGACCAAGCATACGAGAGGGGCTAAGGGTGCCTCGTGGCTGTTCAAAGTTAGGGGATGTTTTTCACAGCAATGAGACAGAGGATACGCGGACAGGGGATGAAATGCGAAGGATCATCCTCGAACGAGACCAAGAACGAGTCGTGAAGATCCGTTGAGTAGAAGCGGCTACCCCTCCGAGTGACCCGGTTTACGACCTCAATGAAATTTCAGGATCCAGCCAATGGGTTCTCGGTGAGGGGATACGGATCTCCCACCCTGGGTATACCAAAGTATCGAACGTGGACTTGGGTGACCTAGTTCCGCGGGGGTGGGGTTAGAGAAATTCAATCGGAACTAGGGTGAACCATCCCTTAGCTCAATGGAAGTTCTCCCCTCTCACTGTAACCGGGTGTGGCCCGTTTCCTCCCTTCCTTTCATTCACCCAGTGTGTACCCGAAGACCTCCGTCAATCCCTCCCCCCCTAGTGAAAAAATGTCAGCGAAATTTTGTTTACGTCATCCCCGATCACCCTTATCTCAGACAATGCAAAGACAAAAGAGTAAACCCAAACGATAGCCAATGTGGAAGAAAAGTAATGAAGACGAAATGCACTGCACATCGGGCATTACGCGATAAGGCTGAATAACTCGTGGAAAAACTCAAGTGAGAAAATACGCAGCTGTTATCAGCAGAAAAGACGTTACGGTCCCTATCGCCTCTTATCAGTCGCCTACGACAACGTATTAACGAAGATTGGCAATGGCATAAAGATAACGTCGAGAGTATTCTCAATGAAACTGGATCGAGAAAACACGTTTCGGGCCAAGGAGAGAAACAATAAAAAAAGACAATAATTATTCCATCTTCGACGCACTTTCCTCAACCTACACCTATACAGAGAGCCAGACGACGTATTCTCAGCGATGATAGCAGTGGGAGCAGCACGAAAGAAAAAGTCTAATGGAAGTCCGTAGGCGTATCAGGGGGTGCAGCCCGAAATTCAATCAGTCTAAAAGAGAAGCCACGTCTCTCCTCGTGTAAGGTTGGCATTACGTTTGTCAGGAGCAAACAGTGCCTACACGCCCCCCAATGAGCATTACCCTGTCTCTCCTGTCTCCAGTTTCCAGGAGGGTGCTTGTCTCTCGACTTCCTGCCGATACGGTCCTAACCTGCTGTACGTATACAGTCACCGAGTATTAACGATAACGAATAAACGATAAACGTTCGCAGTCACTGAGTAACCCTGTGCTACAGTCACACCTTAAGGGTGTGTCAAACTCGTTAGTAGAATTGCTCATAGGCGGAGACGAAACGAGCAATCGATCGAGAGCGGATGCGTGGAATAAAAATGGCGTATTTCTCGAATGGCATTACTGCTTAAAAGATACGATAGCCTTGTCCCTCACTCCCTCTCTCGCTTTTAAGAATATACATGTATATATACTTGACGTTCATCATCTCGAGTTTCTTTTCCGTCATCCATCTCGATTACGTGATCGCAACCGGAATACATCCGACACGTGGTTCAGTCGTAGGCATGACGTCAGACGTCAAGAGAACGTTCAGATGTATAGAATAACGTCATATCCGCTTCCTGGTTGCTTCTTTCTTCTGGTATCGTTTACTTTTTGCTTCTTTCATTAAATTCACAAAAAAAAGGGTGTCGCAAAAAAAGGAAGCAAAGTGCAATAACGCAAACTACCGAATTTCCCTGTGGTGCGTTTACAAGTTACGTGTGAGTGCGTCTTAAATATTAGTCTCTCTCTCTCTCTCTCTCTCTCTCTCTCTCTATCACGTTGACCTAGCATCTCTCCCTATCCGAGAGTATAAGGACGTGGCGCGGCACACGTGCTGGACACTTGAATCATATTCGTATTCCTGTGAACGTTCTGCGCCACGAGGAGGAGGACGGTGCCGGTGACGAAAGAGAAGCGTAAAGAAAGACGGAAGAAGAAAGAGAAGAAGAGGGGATAAAAACATAGGAAAAAAGAGACAACAACAGGAGCTTCGGGAAGAACAAGAGAAGAGGATGTTGAACGAGAACTGGCAAAGCAGAAGCAGAGCGTTTTGTAGGAATCGTTGCCGAGTGTAAGGAGAGTGAGTGTGTGTGAGAGAGAGAGAGAGAGAGAGAGAGAGAGAGAGAGAGAGAGATACAAAAGAAAAAAAAAAGAATAATAGAAGGAGAATATTCAATAACGACGCAATTGAACGACGTGGATCCGTATCGTGGAATCTCAATGTAATATCGTCATCTTTTCCAAGTATTCCTGATGCCGAGATGCGTACGTGCGCGTGCGCATGATTATCAATGTAATAAAACAATATCAAGTGTACGATTGACAGTTCCGCAGAAGTACCTTTTTTCATCTCGACAATCGAAAACAACAACACGACCTATTCATTATTTACTATACCGCTCGATGACGATTCTCAGTCGCTGTATGCAAATCACGGCGGCCATTGGGATTCGCAAGAAAATCCAATAATAATTCGATACGAGCAACGATACTCGCGGTTCGCCATATAGAAGTCGATGAATGGTCTCGGCTATTCGATGAAGTTTTGACGCAATCGGCACATAGACTCGATCTCGTTCCATATGTATTTACAATCGTATACAGGGTGTACACCGTATCAACAGTATAACCCACGAGCACGGATTACAATACAGATCAAAAAAAGTTTCTCCTCCATTAAACGAATGAATAATCGAAATTCGACGACGATCGACCACCGTGAATATTTTTCATCTTTCCATGGATTACTTGCAATTCAAAGCGACAATAAAGAAAAAGTTGTTCAAACTACTCGTGGATATCAAAACGACTCTGGTACACCCTGTATATTTCTTGTCCCCACCATCGCCACCGCAACTGCTCACCACCGCTCTCAGTCACTCGATCATTCATTGCTGCACTCGAGACGTATTTCGAGGCCACATGGTGGTCACCAATAAAATCTTATGAATCATGAATCTCTCTCTTTGGCTGCCGCGAGATCAGCTACCGTTTCTGTCTCTATCTATCTGGTCCATTCATTCGTACAAGCCTTTGCCTATCTGGACACACAGCTTCCTGGCTACTTGATACGGTAAATCAATAAAACCCGTACTCTGCCTTATATTATAGACAGCCAGCACGATACGTAACGATCGATCCCAAACTACCATGAACGACTTTTCACGCAGTTTCGTAGAGCCCGTCGAGGTTGAGTAGGTCTGCGAGGGTGACAGAGGGGAGGAGAGGAGAGAAGAGCAAAGGCGTGGGCGTACGAGAAATCAGTGAGGCAGGATGAATGAACCAGGCGAGTATAGAGCCAATGAATGAATGGATGAACGAAGGAAGGAAGGAATGAACGGCAAACTGATGAATGAGTCGATACCGAGGCCACATGTCGACTCACAAACCGTGTGTATACATATATATGCATATATATACATACGATACAAGTATAATATTGGCATAAGTTTACCTGAATTTACTATATAACGTCCTCGCACGTTTTTACCGCGATTAGACAAATAACGATGCGTCACCGTTACACTCATTCAATAACAATACCGTTCATTCATATATACCATCCATACTCTACACTTTACCATAATATTTACTATAGGCTACAGTACGCGGCGTCCTAACATGGTATTCCATACTGTTCATTGATATACCTGCAATGTGTACCTCGATATATCGGGTGTCTGATATTAATTTTAAAAAATTCTCATAAAGCAGGTACAGTAAGGATACTTGACGGGTGTCACGTAGCAAGAATACAGGATCGCCAGGACACCACTGTGCGCGTCATAAGTTCAGGCGAGGACACGCGTTAGGTAAATCCACATAACGGAGCTTTATCCTGTATAACTGTTTCTACATCTATATACGTATGCACGAGTACAACAGTCGAGAAAGACAGAACAGAACGCAACGCACGCGTAACGTTGCTCGGGCAGCTTTCTAATCCAATAAGCCTGGCGAATCCGATAGCGTTATTTTCTAAAGGCCGCTACTTTACGCGCGTGCGGTCGCTCTCGTAATTATCTTGGCGCGCTTATCTTATCTCTATATCAAACGGTAAGTACAAGCTCTCCTATCACGTGTCACGTGGTCTACGTCAAATGCGTCTCTGGCAAAGATCACACTCTGGAAATTGCATTCCGCGTGACATAAAAAGGCTGATTTTCAATGTGACTATAACGTCATGTTAACTAATTGAAATAAACAGCTGGATACGTTCTTTTCATTTGTTTCTCGAGTGGTGTCCAATTAATTGGATTTTTTATGTGAAATAGAGAGGGAGGAAGGGAGGGAGGGAGAGAGGGAGAGAGAGAGAGAGAGAGAGAGAGAGAGA